GCCAGCCTGCTCCCCGGGGGCTGGGGGATGGGGTGGCCACACCAGGTGCCCGCAGGCTGCTCTGGGCCCATGCCTGCCCAAGTCCCCCACAGTGCCCTGCTCCCCAGGGGCTGGGGGGATGGGCAGCCACGCCAGGTGCTCACAGACCTACCCCGGGGCAAGGTGGGGACGGGGCAGCTGTGGGAGCCGGCCTGTGCCCACTCAAGACCTGCTCCCTGGGGGTGGGTGGTCTCCCAGGGGACCCCGGCCCCCCCCTTCCTGCGGGTGAGGATCTGGGGACCCGTCTGACCCAGCCTCCTCTCCCAGGTGGTCCCCTTGAAAGGCCTTTGGGAGGATGTGGCACCCACCCTGCCTGATGGTCACTTTGATGGTGAGGGGCTCGGGGAGCGGGGAGGGGCACACCGGGTCTGCCTGGACCTTCCAGCCAGTGCCACGGCCAGCAGCAGGGCCTGCACACGCCCTGGGCGAGAGCAGGGACGGGGGGAGGCGCAGGCGGGCACGAGGAACCTGCAGACCCGGGCCGACGCAGTCCCCCGCAGGCATCCTGTACGACACGTACCCGCTGTCGGAGGACACCTGGCACACACACCAGTTCCGCTTCATCAAGGTAGGCCTGGTGGGGGCTCCCCCGTGCCCCTGCCCGCCCCTGCCCTACTGACGCCGCCCCCTCCAGGACCACGCCTTCCGCCTGCTGAAGCCCGGGGGTGTCCTCACCTACTGCAACCTCACGTCCTGGGGGGATATGATGAAGTCCCAGTACTCGGACATCAGCACCATGTTCGAGGTGGGGCGGCCTCCCCACGGCCGGGCAGGGGCAGCTGTGGTCTTGGGGACCTGGCTGGGGTGTTCTCTTGGAGGGGTGCTCCACCACCGCCCATGGCCCCATGCCCTGGGGTGTAGCCCGAGGGCCTTGTGTCCCCGCCCTCCACCTCCTCCACCTCCTCCACCAACACGTGTTCATGGGTCCTCCACCCGGCGAGGGGGACCTTCCCAGCCAGAACCTGGGCAGGAACCCCGGGCTGCTGAGAGCCAGCTGCCGGCTGGTGTGCGGCTCCCTCCACGCGGGCTCGTGGCCACCTAGGCCTTTCCCGTCACTGCCCTGGCCCTGGTGTGATGGGGACACTGCTGCCCATGCTCTAGGGGCAGGGCCTCCACTGTCAGTCCTGCCTGGTGGGGACAGTGGCTCACGAGGACGCCCTGCCTACATACATCCACCTCCTGTGGCTCCCGTTCCCCGGGGCACTCCCACCCGGATGACAGGGTGCACCCCAGCTCCCTCGGCGCAGTTCGGGGTGACCCTGCACCCCACTGCCACCCCAGGAGACTCAGGTGCCGGCGCTGCTGGAGGCCGGCTTCCGGCGGGAGGACATCCACACAGAGGTGATGGCGCTGGTCCCGCCGGCCGACTGCTGCTACTACAGCTTCCCGCAGATGATCACGCCCCTGGTCACCAAGCGCTGAGCCCCCGGGCCCGGCCTCGGGCTCCTGGACGGCCGCCCTGCCGCCTGTGCTTGGCATGGGTGCCCCGGCCCGGCCCCTCCTGCCTTGGGGTCAATAAACCCTGCCCGCTGCCTGCATCCGGGTCGATTCTGTCCAGTGGGCTTCCAGGGAGACAGGGCTGTGCCCGTCCTGAGCCACCCTGGAACCGCCGCCTCCAGCACACACCCCCACCGGCAGTCCACCCTGATGCAGGCCACCTGGCCACCTGCAGCAGAACCCATGGGGTCAGCTGGTCAGGGCCTCACTGAGGCCAGGCTGCGTGAGCCACTCTTCCAGGGCCTTGGCCCACGGACACCACGAAGCCCTGGGCTGCACCCGGGGCCTAGACCTTCCGCTCTCGTGTCCTGTCCCCCGGCCTGACCCCTGCCTTGCTGGTCACCGCAGTGCCGTCCCTGCTGTCCAGGCCCTGTGTGGCTGCTCCCTCGGCCCCCGGGACCTAGTGTGGCCATCCCTCGGCCTGGAGCACGGCTCGCCTCCCGGGCTGGCCTGGGTGCCTGCCACCCATATCCGCCCTGGCTGTCGGGGACCAGCCCACTCCTCCCTATCCCACCCCATGCTGTCCCTGGAGGTGGGCATGTACACAGGGCTGTGGACTGGGCTGGCTGTGCCTGCCTGGGGCCCAGGACTGCCAGAGGCGGAAGGAGGGACCTCTGGCGCCAACGCGGAGGGCCACGGCACACACTGGCCATGGCTTCTCCAGGCCCAAGGTGGCCCTTCAGCTCTGTCCACCTTCTTGGAGGGGCTGGGCCGGGAGGTGCGAGCTGCCGGGGCTGTCCATACTGGGCAGGCTGGGACGGGAGGCAGGGCCACAGCCTGGGGACCTCGGCTGCCCAGGGCGGAGCGCCGAGGGGACACACACAGCACACGGGGGTCAGTCCAGGGTGGTTTATTGGGGCTGCTCAGGCAGGGCCGCGGGGCCGCAGGGGCCAGTGCCGCTGCTACCGGCGGTACCAGATCTTCAGCCTCTTCTCCCTCTTGATCTTCCTCTGCAGCTGCAGGATTCCGTAGAGCAGGGCCTCCGCCGTGGGTGGGCAGCCTGCGGTGGGACCACGCTCAGCGTCCCCGCCCGCCACACCAGCCCTCCCTGCAGCCCACAGGCGGGGCGGGGGCTCGGCGCCTCACCCGGCACGTAGATGTCCACCGGCACGATGCGGTCGCAGCCGCGGACCACGGAGTAGGAGTAGTGGTAGTAGCCGCCACCGTTGGCGCAGGCGGGCGGGGGGGGG